AAATAGCTTCGATTCGTGAGAAATAATTATCGTATATCTCAGATCCAATTAATTCGTCTGATAAGAACTAGTGCGTTTGTAGATTTTTAATTCGCGTATCCAGGGAGAATATTGCGACCTTCACTATGTTTTGCTGGTTATACGTATGTACGTCGTTAATGTTGATTTAGTAACGGATGCATTGTACGGTCTTGACGTACGTGGGAAACAACGTCCACATTTCTTTTCGTAATTCCCCTGCTATAGTTATGTTGTTAGTCGTATCATTTTGGCCTTTATATATTCACCTTGCATAAGCATTCTCTCTTTTATCCTACCTTTGACAGCTCTCTCTTTCAAAGGTCAACTATCAGAAAAGTTACTCATAATTTCTTCAAAGTTGATTTGAATCCTTCTTTCTCTAATTACAATTTCTATCATATAAGTTTCATTAGTATATATAACATATAGGTTTTTTTTCTCTACAGATGTAAAAAGATTTTATCTGCATTTTATTCTTTTATCCTGCATATACTCCGTATTGTATAATATATTTATGAGGCTAGAATAAATTTTATTACGTTCCTTATTACGTTTTCTTTACGTAGATATCTGCAAGGGATATAAACATTTTACGCTTGATATTATTCCCGTTATCTTTGTTGCTTTCGTTGAATTATGCATCGTCGCTACGCTCGCGAGCGTAGCTCATCTCGGAAGTATGAATGCCGTATGAATTGCTCGGTGATACGATATACTGTTAGTCAACCGCAGAGGTAGGGTGTAAAATGAAACATTGCCGGATTAACCCGCGCCATTGTCTCTGTCGTTCATGACACGGTGTGTCAATCTTACAATAGGAAGCTACACAATAGTCCTATATTGTAGCTTCCGTGGCGCGTTGTGATGTATGATTGGGAATAACAAAAAGTGTGCACGCGCGCGAAAATGCATTTGTCAGCTGCGCGAATGTATAGAAAAAAAAAAAAGCGAAATAATGGCATTACGAGTGGCATGCGTCATGCGATATAAATGCCGCGCGAATTGTATCGGACCCAAACTCCATACGTTATCGATAAAGAAAGGTGCTATATCTCCACAGCTGAAGGTTACATGTATATCTGCGTGGAGTTATACATGTCTATTGCAATCAATGCACAATAATTATTCATTATGAAAGAAGATGTGCGGCGAGATTAAGACGCACCTGCGGAGGTGTCAAATCGTGCAATGGTGTGTGAAATGACGTGCTTCGATCTCGTTTTTAAATTTTTTTTGCTTTTTTGCGCGCATTTCAATGAAATCTCTCTGCGACGTTTTATACCCGAGAATATAATTACAAGAGGAAAAGGCATTATACGTTCTGCGAGTTCCTGTGCATACATCTTTTATGAAGAAGTTTTAATTATCTTTCTCCTTCTCTCTCTCTCTCTTTCTCTCTCTCTCTCCTTCTCTCTCTCGCTCTCTTTCTCTCGTAAATAGCAAACTTAGATTAGAATAATATATCGCGTTAGCTTCTGCGAGCTTGTCAGACACGTTTAGATTATTACGTTATAATTATAAATGTTGGTAGGAAATGTTAGTAGGAAACTGTGATAAATAATAATTAGATAAATCGTAAATTTGTAGCGTGAAGTTTGTTAACTTCGACTACTTGGATGCAGGCGCGACTGTACTAGCAAACGACAAATTAAATTACGTCCCTCTTACTTACATGCATCTAGGTCATTTGAATTGAGGCCTGCAATTCGCTGCAATTCTCAAGGCACGAGTATTTTAATGCTGTAGCATTATTACTAGAAACCTTGATTGGCAAGCTTGCACGATTGAGTATCCGAGCTATCAGCTTTTCGGGCTATAGCTTTACCTTATACTTCGTTTATATTAATAATCTCATTGCATCTCGTTCCATGCCGTATATTTAGATCATAACCTGTCATAGTCTAGCTTAGTCTAGTTTCACCAAAGAATTATTCATGTGAAATCTGTACTGTTTTCTTTTCTCACTTTGGAAAAGAAGAGAGAAAGAGAGAAAGAAAGTGGACAAGTACATTTATTCAATGAATAGGATTTATCTCACATGAATAAAATATTATTCACTAGAACAATGAATAGAAGAGTTACGATAAAAATTTGCCCTACTAGATTTCAGATGGGAACAGACTACATGAGAGAGAGAGAGAGAGAGAGAGAGATGAGAATCTGGACATATATCTGACATCATCTTATTCATGCCCACGCGTGATTCATTTTAATTCTGACCCGCCATTTTCGAGCATCTCGCGTCGATGACTCAAGTCGGTAAAATTTTCATAAGAAAAAATTAAATCTTAAGAAAGTTTCACGATTGAGAAAGGACTTTAAATCTTCGTTGAATTCTACCTAAATGAAAATCCGACATTCAGTGACGTTACACCATGATTCCACCCCCTTTGCTTTGCCTGTCCCATTCCCCCCTTCCCGAAAATGTCGATGATCTCATGTCGAAATGAAAAAATCTCTCCTCGTTCATTCGGAACATTCGGCAGGCGAATGAAAGTGTGGTACAATCCTATATCCTTCGCTGTCGTCTGTCGTGGTACGATGTTCATAGAGCGTGTCTGCGACTGGTACGCGGTCGCACGCCGCTTACTCACACGTGCAAACGAGAGACGCACACGCGTCCACATTGTTGAGACGCTGTCAATTCAGAACCCGCGTGCACGAAGCTAACTAGCACACGCGAAGCGTGAGAGAGAGAGAGAGAGCGCAAGGCCAGGGATGTGTATATCCAGGGGAGTGTGGTATTTCTCGCAGGAAATGCGAGAATGTTTCCCTCTGTAAATGTTAATCACACCCCTTCATCTCCCTTCGTCGTGTTGACTGATAATTAACCGCGGAATTACTGGCCTTCGCTGACGCGAAATGATCGACGAATCAGACACTGGATTTCGCACTTTCTTGCGCGCTGCTTATCAAATTAACAACACAAACGCACGCTTCTCCACGCTGTTGTTTATGTCGCTTCTCTACGCTTTTGCAATTTTAAATTAAACATATCTGATTTGTAGAAAATAAAAAGTCATTAAAATTAGCGATAGGGAGAGATTAGAGATCGATTTTGACGACGCTTTAATATTTACATTTAAATTGCATGATTACCTTCATAAGAATGTTATAAACAGTTTTTAGAATTTTGTTTGTTGTGACAAAAATGAAAAATTATATCTCTGATTTGTGCTTATCACGTGGTACTGACCCGCGACGATACGCGAGAGAGTAGCGCGTAGTGCCCGGCTGTACCACTCGCGCGATCACGATTTAACCGTGACGCAATCTCCGCGCGTCCCTTATATAGCCTCCAAGGAAATCATCTTCGTACTCATGGTACCGCCTGTTACATTGTTAACCGTTGCCTCGTGAGAATATGTAGAAACAATCCACGTGATATCCTCGAAGATTAAACGAGCCATCCTTTAACCATCCTTCTCGTGACTTTGATCGTAGAAATTGTGCTCCACTTAAGAAAGAAAAAAATCGGAAGAACCGAACTAGACAGATGCAATGGAAATTTTTAATTATTAATAATAATTTGTTTAATTATGTATGCTAGATTGGTTAATTGGTCTTGGCAGCGATTTGCGATAAAAGATATATTAATAATAAATTTATTATCTGATTCTCGTAGTTCTTCGAAATGAATAATTAAAAAATTTATGTAATCAGAAAACGGTAGATCTCTAATTGCAACGAGAGCAATTGGATGAATGTATGCAAATTGAAATACAACGCGTTCTTCCGCATACTTTGCACGCCAATTAACGCTGATCCGCGGAATTAAGCCGGAAATTTACCCGCGTTCTAAATCATCTGGAGAAAAATATGATTATCCTTTAAAACTATTCTGAATTATCTGGATATTGTTATTATTCATACAGTTGCAATTCTTAATTAAAGAGCATTGTAATATTCATTGGAGATTTAACAATAAAGAATTAATAATGTACTTGCGCTTAATTCCAATGATATCATTTCTCGGACTTTTCATGTCACCTGAGATAAGTTGAATTAATAATCTTTAACAAAAACAAAAATTTGCCGAGTTTCTAACTCTTTTTAATCTGTAAGAAGGATGTATGAATGAATATATTCCCCTTCTAACCATTATGTGCACGATATGGCAGTATGACATAAGGATATGCGTGCAACATGATAGCGCACGTTCGTTCCTTTTCATTATCTGTAAGCATTGTATTGTATCTGTAAGCGTGGAGTAGTTGGAAGGTTTTAAAGCAGTTAAGTGAAATAGTGTCAAAAGAGATAATTCGTTAAAAACAAGATATTATATTCAGTTTTCTATATAATGTATTTATTTAAGCTCGAAGCAATTAACTGCACAGCTGCGCGCCCCCGATTTTATCGTATCTTTAATAAAAAGCGGAGCGTTTAATTTGGCCGATATTAGTTAAATTTTCGCATGGAAATTTATACCAAGTTTGCATAATGACCGTGACGAATAATAGGTTCATTCGACATGGCTAGTGTGTTAATAAATTTAAATTTCCCAAGATACACTTATGTAATAAGCAAAGGCCAGCACATGCGTGCCACACGCATTCGCAACCACGCAAGGCACGCATGAAATTTATGAGTTATTTATAAAAAAAATTGTAGGGTTTTACATGAGAAAGAGCTTAGTCGGTTTTTCACAAGTATATTCAATATTGTGATTATATGTCACATGGCCAGGAATAAAATTAAACGAATATTACTTGGGGAATAAACTTGTACTGCAAAGCGAAAATATAATTGTGTACAAATTGAAAATATAAATAAAATTAATTTATTAAATCAAAATTTATAATAATAATAATTTATTAAATTAAAATATTTAAAACAAGTTTTATATTCAGTTTAAAGATAAAAAAAGTTATTTTATTATATTATTAAGTAAAAAAGTAGAATATATTTATATGAAAAAGAACAATATTTGAAATATCTTTACGTGTCACGTGTCAAGAAATAATATTTAAATGTTTCAGCAAGTTTCAAGACTATATTCAATCACAGTAAGGCGCCATGAAGGAGGTCCAGGAACAACAGCAGCCCGAGTCAATGGAATCCAACGAGTCAGTTTCCGGCTCGAATGAATACGCCTATCGACCTCTCACGACGAAGCACAGACGGGCCGGGAGCACCGGAACAACCGGCGATGAGGAATACACCACGGATGAAGATGAGCTTTACACGGACGAAGCTGATTGCGCCACGCTACATCCGCCTCATCCTATTCTCAAATCGGACCTCGCGAGGGCAGCTACGGACCTCTTCGGTTATGCCACAAAATGCGAGGACGAGGATGAAGAGCCCACTAGTCTATTCGACGAGGATGATAACAAGTTCCTAGGTGATAGGTATGTTTATTGACTTTTTTTATTGACTTTTTACTTTTCTATCGAAATCATCTTTTTATTTAGTATATGTAATTGATTTTTGAAATTGCTTTCGATAAAATGAAATACGAAATTTGCCATAATGGAGAATTTTTATTACGTTTGGTTAAATACCCGATTAGCGCAAATTAATTTCATATACGTTCTTTTTAAAAAATGTATATGAAACCAACTGTGCTACCCTGGGTATTGAATGAATTTAATTGGTTTTCTATTGGTTTTCTAATATCCAATAATTGATTGTAGTAACGAAATTTAATTTTTATTTTTTTGTCGAATGTATAATAATAGTAATAATTTTGCTATGATTGCAAAATTAATTCCTTTTTTGTAGAAAACGATGCTACATTTAAAATTTTTAATTGATATTCGGGATTGCCGGATATCATCGATTATATTATTATTATTGTAATATTTATGTGTGTTATGCTATCGAGAATAATGAGATTTGCATATTTTAGTTCCAATTCAACCAAAACTACTCCACTATTCGCATACAACGAAAAGTTGCAAGGTGTCCTGTCGCGACATCGAAACTTATCAGAAGAGAAGAAGTCCGTGAAATCCTGCGAAAAGTTAAAATCTCACGAGTCGGAAGTCTTGGAATCTCAAGCTCAATGTACGAAACCTTTGGATTTTCGGTTGAGCGAAGATGACTCTGTGAGAGAAACTGCCGATGAGAAACTCGATACGGACTTGAAAAAGGAGAAGTCCTTTGAAACAACAAAAAGACTCTCCCTCTCTAAAAATACGCATGTAATTTCAATCTTCGCTTCGTCATATTTTAATAATTCTTGTACAAATATATAATATTACTAATGCTCACTACATTTTATATACTAATATAATATTACTATATACTTTACATAATTATTTTGTGAACATTTTTTTAGCTAGGAGAATCATCAAAGCAAGAATTGTGCGTTCCTAAAAAGACTAACGGTCCGCCATCGCCTACTACTCTGCAATGGGGAAGAGCAGTGGCTGAAGTAAAAGAGCATGCAGTGGCCAAATTGCAAGAAGAACTTAAAAGAGCTCATGAAGAATTAAAATTAAAGGACGAAGAAGTAGCCAGACTCTCGCGGATCAGACAGGATGTAGAAGCCGAGCTCGAAGAACTCACTGCCAGTCTCTTTCAAGTTAGTGTTACCAATTCCATATTGTTAGAAGATTAAATAACGCACATTATTACAATGAAAAAATTAAATCAAAGAACGAATTACAACACTAAATTATAAATAATAAAATTGTACGCTTATGTAAGATATAGTTTTCAATATTAACAGAGAAATGAAATTATTTTATTAATATAACAATTTAAGTTATTAACATATTATTATATAACATATTATTATATAGCAGTATAAATATAACAATTTAGATTATTTAAAAAATGTTTATTATAGGAGGCACATAATATGGTTCGAGAAGCTAACGTACGTCAAGCGACAGCGGAACGTCTTCTGGAGGAGAGCCGCATGAAATCGGAAGTGCTCGCAGCTGAAGTAGCAGCTTTGAAAACTTTGGTGCTTACATCTACACCGTCAAGGCCCAATCCTCATTTGCATCCTCAAATTGACACGAAGGGACGCGTTAGTAATGGGGAGGAGAGCCAGCAAGGGCTTTTCACAAAAAAACATCGGAGGTAATTCGACCTTTTTTGAAATTTATAATTCTTTAAAACTACCAAGCATTTTGAATGTGGAAATGACAAATTCAAGCAATACGTCATAATAATTGCACATTTGTTATATTGTTGGTAATTTCGAAAAAATATTTTTATCTGTTATAAAGTTTTATTATTAAAAAGAATTAAAGTTTATATTATGTATTTCGATAATTTTTCTAAACAAAAATAACAATTAAAAATAACACAATAACAGTATATACAGAATAACTACTTATAAACTATTATAAATTATAAGAAACATAAAAAGTCATATACTTACTTAAGTATTTATGTTTATTTTTTGCAAGACAAAATGCAAATTTAATAACACGGTTAAAAATAATTTGCAATTCTGATACAGGTCGCCGTCGCATTTTAATTTAAAATACGGTCGCGAGAATTCGCCGCCTGAATCACCTGTGAAAGAACAAAGGCCGCCTCTACCAATCGACAAGGAGACTCTTGAAAGAGATTGGAAGCGTGAGCGTGAGAAGGAGAAGGAAAAGGAATGTAAGGACTTCGGTCTGGAAGTTGATCCAAGAGTGCATACTGAGTTTCTGAGGTGGAAAGCAAATCCCTGCGTCGACAAAAGTGATCCCTTCGTTGGGAGGGTATTTAGGGAGGATATCGACCTCTGCTTGGATTTCCCAAATAAAGAATTGGGGGCTAGGGTCAGACAAGCCGTTTTGGATGGTATCATATTTATCGAGGCGGTCAGCGATAAAACAAAACTTGCTTTTCCCAAGTACGTTTTCAAGTTTCTATGTTAAAATATTTAATATCTCAGGATATAATAAAAAATTACAAAATTTTGTGCGTTTATTGGATGATTTAAACACATATTTCTTATTATTAATTTGTGATATTTCTATATTTATTTTCATATATTTATGTTTCTGACATAAATATTGTTATAATCTGATTGGAACTTTGCAATTCTATGTTTCTGTAATGTCTTTATACATTACAATTGCATACAATTTGCAAGATTTGAAGTTGATGCAACAATAATTGGAAGATTATATGCTTTTATTCACGGATGGTATTATTATCACAAATGTTTCTATAAAAGTTTTGTAAATGTATGAAACAGCGATAATATTTCGATTTCAGAAAATGTGCACTATTGGAAACACCACGGCAATGCCATTATCGTATGCGGCTCAGTGATCAAGAAAACCAATGGCACTGCATTTCGCAGATATGTCGCAATCGAGTAAGTTCTATTTAATGGTTATTTATATTCATTCAAAAAATAATAGAAAATTCTGTTTTGTAAAGAATATTCTGCTTTCTTGTAGATCATAGCGGTATGTGATTTTCTTAATTATCTAAGATACGTTGAGCGTGGTCTCGTCAAAAGTTCAGGTATGTTTTAATGCATAATGATAAATAATTTATTAGAGATTTTGTTCTTTTTATATATAACGTACTTAAAAATAAAAAAAAATTTTTCAGACAAATATTTTAATGTTTATGTATTAAATATTGAAAGTAATAAAAATCAAAAACAATTTATATTTTTCTGCTAGTAATTATATTTTTTAATCTACTGTTACAGTTCATGATGTTTACTGGGAGATCACGCGGTTAAGAAGAGAAATGGTTTTTGCACGATTGGGTTTAGCATTGTCGTCCTGAGGTTCGCGTAGACGAGACGTCATCTAGTCTCGAATCAATTTTGGGCAGGATTTATTGTTCGAAAATAGAATCGATTCGTGGATTGTGCAAAATCATTTCATGACACTCTCGTCGATTCGGCCTTTTGCACAGTGAAGGGAAAGATGCAATGTTGTAATTTATCCTTGAGATATGTACGGGATGTCTGATTCCTATTGATACATCGCTTGTATAACGAGTAGAGTGAGTCAAACTGAGTAGAAAAGTCTTCTACCATTTTATGATTTTCAGAATTAGTAATGAGTTAATTACTAAAGATCACAGAATACGGCGAGATATATAGACGTGAAGTCTACAATTAACAGAACATTTGCTTATAGTGCATATCTCCAAACATTTCATTGCATTTCTATCGCAAACGCGTGTTGGACGATTGTATTTCGTCAAGCGTTTGCATTGGCCGACAGATCGGGCGCGCTTATTCTACGATTTTAATAACTCGTTAATAATTACGAAAATCGCAAAACAGTAGAAGACTTTTCTGCTTTGACCTGCACACAAGCAGTGTACTATTAGAAATCAGATATCATGTATATCTGAAATCTCTCTAATTCTATAAAGTAATTCTGACGATAATATAACGTTTCTAAGAAATTTACGTGTTATATATTTAGAAAATTATACTGTATGTTCATAAAAAATACGTATGATATATTCGTGAATCTTCCATTTTTGGTTATAAATATTTTACATGTAGTATGGATAATCAAATTAATTCATGCATATATCAATGCTCATTTCTAGTTTTACAAAGATAGATGCAGATTTAGATTTCATATTAATTTTGCAATAAAATATTTTCGTGCACGTAAATTTTTTTCATCTATAACAGTTTCTTTTATATAATTATTTGCGAACAAGCTGTAAAATGACAATGTAGCTGATTATAAGGCTGTGAATGATCTTGACATGCAGATCAGACATTGTCGATGGCTCTACTAGAGAAATGTAAATAACAGAAGAAATTTTTGAGATATTGTATCATGTTTTTTGAAGTTTAACTGGACATCGTCGAACTTATTGTTAGATTCATGTGAATTATAAGAGTTCAAGTTTTGGAACTGTTATTCCATGAGATAGTTAATGGTTAACAATCATATTATATATATGAGATCACTCGATTCACATCGTGGTTTGATATTAACATTGAAGAGAAAAAGAAATTATACTTAACTAATTATTTACATGTGAATATTTGTATTTTTGTTACAAATCAGTTTTTTATTTGTCGTCATGCATTGTGAGAATAATTTTGTTATTTTGTTATGTTAATTTATCGATGTTATATGTTGTGTTAGTCCTTAATCTGATTAATAATTTTTACTAAATCGGCTACTGATTATATAAATATATTAAAATTCTGAAATATTTGCATCGTTATTAAAAAATATAAAATTGTCTAAACTTCCAATTAATTAATACTCATTGTAAATCACGATGATGACTGCATTATTATCACTCATACAGAAGAGCTACATCTGTGTGGACCATATAAAAATCTCCAAATTCTTCGTGTAAATAAAACTTGAAACTTCTCTCTCTGTTATATTACGATTCTATATGTCTATCATAATGCGTCCGGTTATACGGACTATTATTTGTTTTTACTCTAAATATTAGTATGACATATTGTAAGTAATACATTCTTTCATAGAGATTATATAAATATGTCAATCAAAGCTGACGGTTGTGTCAGTTCTATGTATCTTGTGGTTGTATATAATATATATTTTGAATATATATTTTGTTTACGAAAAAAATATTCTTAACTCTAAATTTCGATATACTAATTAATTTTTTTTCGAAGCAAATATTTGCGGCAATTGTCTGGTCAATTCACTCGATAATTCGAAGCATCGAAACTGTAGAAATGAATATAGATAGTTACTTTGGCACTGCGAAGATTTGATGATTCTTCTTGTCTCTCTGTTGTCTTCCATCATTTATCGCGCTTTATATAAACATCGATACGAAAACAATTATGTAGTTGGTTCGCCATTTTTTGAATTATGCCAAATGCATAAGCCAACGATAAAAAAAATATAACGTTCCCTAAAATGTTACGGGATATAGTGAAAGACTTCTTGTAAGCATTTCTTTTGTGAATAGAAAACATGTTAATTGTATATCAAATGTAAATAGAGTCTTCTAACATTACTTGAGATCGAACTTGTAATTTAAAAAAAAAAAATAAAATAAAGATAATAATCGCTATTGAAAAAAAAAATCGATTATTAATTCCTGCAATCCTTTTGAAAAGTAGTATTTTATTAATTCTACATAAACAATTGTTATAAAATATAGTTATTATTTCATCCATATTATATATTTTTGTATAGATTATATATATATATATATATATATATATATATATATATATTACTTTATAAGTATTAGTACATTACATTACATGCATCAATGAAAAATTAAGCAGTCATTTCTTTTGATAGCAATAACACTTAAATTAGGTGGCGCGATTGTAAAGCCGTCCAGACCGTCTAAAATGGGGTCGGGATGTTCCGGGGATAACACAAATTGAAATTTCTGCAATAGACATGCAGTAAACAGGAATACGCTGTTCCTCGCCAAGATCTCGCCCAAGCACTTTCGACGACCTGTTATATTATTAATATCACAATCTTCAATCTTTGTAAGAGATTTGTATATTTATTTGTATACCTAAGCCGAATGGTATCAGCCAAGGGTCCTCGATGTACTCTCCTTTGTCATTAATAAATCTTTCTGGCCGAAATTCCTTCGGATCGCCCCAATGTTGCTCGTCCATATGTACGCTTCGCAGATTAGCCAACAAAGTATAATTCTTTTTTATCTTGTAACCCAGGAGAGTAGAGTCAGTCATTGCCCGATGAGGGATTGAGGTTGGACCGACATTCGCTAATCTCGATACCTCCGCTATCGTCGCGTTTAAGTATGGCAGTCTGAAAATTTGCGACCGCAAATTTTTCCCGTATATCCGTGCAACTTCCGAACGATTTAATATTAATAGTATGCCAAGCAATATTTTTCCGTACATACCGATTTTTGTATTCTGTGCGAGGTAGTACTTCCTTGCCTAGCACTCTCTCGATTTCCTCATACACTTTTCTTTGTACATCCTGTTTTGCCACAAGATACGTTATTATAAAACCAATAGTATTATTTGTCGTTTCTACACCGGCGGTGAAAAGGTCTTTCACAACACCGATTAATTGTTCTTCTGGAACAGTATTTTATATTATTTGTCACATGTAACAAAAAAATTATTTAATTATCTAATTTTATCTAATTTTCATTAAAATTAAACACATTATATATATATATATATTTATTTATTACAATATTATTAAAATAAACTATTTTTAAATACTATTTTCTCTTCATGAATAATGTTATTTCTTTTTTATAATTATAAAAATTTAACAATAAAGTGGCAGAAAATTTTAATATATTTAAACTTATATAAAACTTTTTTTATTTTTCTTTTTTGTACATTATAATGTATTGTGTACCGTTAAAAGATGATACGGTCGGATTTGATTGCTTGCTGTCCATCTCCGCTAAATAAACATCGATAAAGTCTCTGATCTCGCCGTGCGTTCTAGTTTGTTTGTGCCTCGTTATTTCGGACTGAAATAAAATATCTTAGTATATAGATCGAAATTACATCCATAAAGAAGAAAAATATTAGATTACCCCGAAAAATTGCCACATTCGTGCCAATCTTTGATCTAACACAGTAAATCCGGTCAATCCTGGGATGATATATCTCAAAAAAGGCAAGTGGGTCAATATGCCGCCTGTGGCATTACTATTTCTGGTGAGATCGTTTACTACTGACAAAATCTCTGTTAATTTTGGATTTTGCAAGTCATATCTATGGACAATATATTCTAATGTTATTATTGATGAAACGTAATTGTATGTAATTTATAATAATTTTGCAGTACACCTTGATCCAGCAATTAATGTCCACAAACTATTAAGGACGGCTATTGAGGTAATATTGTACAAGTTTGTAATGGGTCCCAATTTAGCTAGCGACTCTATCGTACTCGTTAAGGAAATAGCATCGTTTAATATTATGTCCTCCATTGTGACTTTACCGAATCCAAATTCCTTCAATGTTCTCAAGGCAAATCTGAAAACTCGTAACAAGTTGTAATATAAGTTTATTTTTCTTAGTTTTTGTGCGCAAAAAATAATGTAATCATATTTCAAAGATTTAATCTTAATAATGGTTGCAAATATAAAGAAAATGCAAATATAAAAAGTATTATTGCTATTTTAAAAATATATATTTAAAATTATTATTTAATAAGAATAAAAGTTTCCTCATTAATTTATATTATATTTGCTAAAGATTTCATAATTTAAATAAAACGATACGATTTTGAGAACCCTTAGGATTACTAATAATAATAAAGATAATAATCGCATTGCAAAGTACCTTCTTTGATCTCGCCAGATATCACCGTCCGTGAACAGTACGCCTCTTCGTTCACCTCCCGTCCGAAATCTGTGTATAAATCCATCAGGTCTGCCGTCAAACTCAGGTCGACCCATCATTTCGACTACAGCGTCCTTACCCGAAACAATGATCAGCGGTTCGGATATACCAAGTTTCAAGCCGACGATGGGTCCGTAAATATCGGCCAACCGACACCAGGCATGGGAATAAAACTTGGTTTCATCAACTAGACGTTTCACGTCGAGTATATTTCCCACGATCGGCAGACCTCGGGGTCCTTGAATAAAATATTTTACAAATATTTTACATGTTTATGTAAATGGAATGTCAGTATAAAATATTAGAGCATGTGTAAAAAAAAGCAAAAGTTAAAAGTAAAAATATTTTCATGAATTAAAATAATATAAAATGAAAACTTTTTTACATTGTATTTTTTATAGATATCAATATTGATAATTTATTCATTTTTATAAAAGAATTTCTTTGTAAAAATTGTAATTGGGATTTGTGGCTTTTCCATGAAAGATTCGAGAATATCATTAAAATTACATAATAATTAAATTATAAATATATATATATATATATATATATATGTATATAAATTAAAATTTCTTTGTTTTTTTTATATAATTGATTATTGCTTTTACAAAAGAAGTTGCGTATGTAATTAAATTATGAACTATATGCAATAATAAAAGTAACATGAAAATAATATGAATATTTTTGAATATTAAAGTATTACCTGGAGGGAACATTGATGGACGTTGCCAGCCGTGCAAAATTTTTATCGTAAATATTGTCATTGTCAGAAAAATTATTATAAACCACATTGTTTAATTTATTATTTAACGGCAATAAAAGTGTCATAAGTATAACGTAGAAATGTTATTAGAAATTCGTTTTAATATGGAATCTTTTTATACTTAAAAAATATTTTATATCCTCTAGAAATACATTGAGGATGTTACCGTAAATTAGTGAATTTCACACGTAATAAATATATTAATCAATTGTATTTTAATGAATTATTAATGTAATTTACTAGTGAACTGTGTCTCGCATCAAATTTGTTATTCGCGACAACTGACGCTAATCGGAACTGCATCAATCCCGTGGAAATTCTGTTATATGGGAGAAACACCTCCTTTCACTGGCATATTGGGCAAGAGGATTTTGGCTCAAGGTTCCAAGTATGTACGAATATGTCTGTACATATACTGCTACTGCACGCGACAGTCTACCTCTTGTCCCATTACTTAGTCATTACATTATAAGTTTCATTTTACTGCAAAATGCTTTGCGACAGCTATGATATAATAGAACGTTTCAAATAGCACGTTGTGTAACGTCCTTTGAACGAGCATATAATTACAAGCGTTAACGTCTGCTTGCGGTTTTGGCAAAATTTAACTGTAAATAAATAAGAAATTTACGATCTGCGTTTCTTCTGTTATTTATTCGTAACTTGAAGAAAGAAACACTGAAAATGTGAGTTAGGTTTTTACACGTTAATTATAGCAAACGTCTTGGAGGGGAATGCGGGGTAATGCATCGTTGGATCATTGCTAATATCGACGATTATAGCGGCGCGAGATAATCACAGAAGTTAATAAGCGGCAGATGTGGGGGCATCTCGTAAATTCACAATTCCAATCAATCGCGCGCACAAATCATCAAAGCGCACGCTATCTCCATTCTTTCATTTCGATGTTCGTGGCCCGACCACCACCTTGCGCAATAGCATTTATGATTTCGCGCTCGCATGCGATCGTACACACACCCTTCCTCTTCTATTTCCCGGGTCCAACCGTCGACAACCGTCTTCCTCCGCCGGCTTCTTCCGCCTAACGCGCAACGTCAAATCGAAACGAGAACGATCGAGCAGGCCGCTCGGCGCAATAACGACCGCCGGGAACCACTTAAATCGCCAAGTTAATCCGATCGCGATTATCCGGTTGAATTGCCGAATCGTATTCGTAGGTTATTGACACTGTTATAATTATTGACACTGTTATAATTATTGGCAACTTGTTAATAAACTATGCTTCATGTGCACAGCCGTGGTGGCGTTGGCTGGCAGTTATCGAGTAGATTAATTAGATAGAATAATTAGAAATATGCAAAACTGAAAGGTATGAAAAAATATTTCAGTAATTTTGTTTATTCGTGCTGTTGTCGTAATTATTCAAGAAATATTCTAAGAACAATATTTTACATTAAAAAATAAAATAAAAATTTTATTCTTACGTACGTGTGTCGAGATTAGGATTACTTCTTAGACATATTTTCATTTTATAAATAAAAATCTTTAAATAGATTTAACCTTATTTCTCGGTATATTGTTGGTTTAAAGAGAGACTTTTCACTATCATCTAGATTCTTTATTATTTATTTCATTTTTGGATTTATTTCATCTCCTCGAAGAACTTGCGCTATAAAGGGAAATGGCGCTGTCGGAAAATCGGCAACGACTGCCATCAGCGATTCTGGGGACTAGAATTCGCAGCATCCGCGCGTGATGGTCTGTAAATTATTACATCTCGACGTCAGTAGCGATAAAACGATCAACGAGAGACAAAGGAACATATAAAGCGATCTAGCCTTTTCTCCGAGCACAATAGATGATCGCGAAGCCGTGTAACATATAGATAACGAGCGATCGTGACTTGCTAGTAGCAATGTAAAGACAAGAAAGAAAAGAAAAAATAAATGTTGAGAATCATTAAAAGAACGGGAATTTAATTCTCTCACGTTTACTCATTCGTCAAACTATTCATGTTTTATCGTAATGTTCTTTTTATTAAGAACATAAGAAGATTGCTTCTGCAATCAAAAATTACGAATTTGCTGGAAAATATCTATTTGAGTGTTATAAGATCTTACGTAAATCTTTTTTTAACAAAACTAAGAGCAGGATCCTGCTCTTAGTTCTTTTTGTTAATAATTATGATTAAATTATAAAATAATTCACGTAAAATTAATTGAAAAAGTTTTGGTACCTTTATAAAGAGAAAGTAATTCGAACGAGTTATTCAAGTGTAATTATGTGATGAAATAAGACAAGAGTCTTTTTTGAGCGAACACCTACATTATCATAATTCAAGGACATGGAGCAACTGTAATTCATTAAACTTTTAAATGCAGCGAACGAAATGTTCTTTTTGACATAGAGAATAGAACCGAACAAAGCGACAGAGCTTTATCGTGCATAACGAACGAAGACATTCAAATTAAATGTTACATAGTCAATTATCGATTGCCTGTTAAATTGAAATGAATATAGTCAAATGTAGAATCTCTTAATTAGTTAGAGAAAAAGAAAGAAATCAATGCCCTTTCAAAAGTTCTTCCAAAGTTTCAAAGATTTTTAAATACAATTTTTGATAATTATTTTATTATTATATTGGAATAACATAAAACGGTTAAATATAAAAGATTTTATATAAAATAAGATTTGAAAAAGTTGAAATATATAAATATTTGATTAAGGAATCATCATAAGAGAAAGACAAATAATATTTTATTTTATTATCTGAAATGCTATCCGACAGTTACCAATAGATTGTGCAAAGTGTCGAATTTAGGTACACGAAGTAGTCATCTTTCTTAGTCATATAAGGCTTTTTGATGAAGTAATTATTCCGGCACCGGTAAATGATTCTTGCTAGGAACGCGTTGGCGAGTGAGATGTATTTAATCAATTGATCAATGCATCGTTGAAGTGACGAGGAAAATAGCAATTAGGGAAATTAAGTCGTGGGACAAGGAGACGAGACGTTGCTGCTGCTGCTGCTGCTGCTGCTGATAACAAGTCCGGAAAATCGAAATGGTTGAACCGGGGGGGGGTCTTAAAAAGGAGCGGGGTTAGAGAGATTTGATAATAACAAGTGGGGACGATAACTTGCACGAAGGTGCTAGGTCTAGTCGAGTTGGCACTCGATAGGAACAGACCTCGATTCAACATCAGGCGAGTGCTGCGTGCCCCCATCATTGGAACATTTTGATTATCTGTCGTGGTCAGTACCGATGACAAGCAAACAGCTCGATTCTTTTCGGAAACATGATCGACTTGTTGGATAATCGTTTCTTAATTAGAAGTTAAATGTATAGTAGATTTATTGATTTATTGTCAGATAATGTCAGGTTAACACATACAGACAGTGATAAATTAGGGATTTTGTTGGCAAGATTAAAAGTTCTGATCTGGTGTTGGGTGTAGGTCGTGTTTCTTGCTCGAGGAGTAAAGAGATAGAAGATCTGGAAAGAACGAAAAGGTGACATTTTGGCGGCGATGCTGGTTCGCGCGCCTTACACCCTCCCCTTACTTTTTGTGGTAGGTAGTTACTCTTTCATATTCTATTTAATTATTTATTATTTGTTTAACGTGAATTTAAAATTAAAGCAGAATATTCGTTTCATTTTACATTACAAGTAATATTTCTTTAACTTGAAAGATTAACGAAAGATTAACTATTGAAAGACTAACGTGTTGAATGACAAAATAGTAATTTTTCGAAAATATTTTAAAAAAGTACTCTAAAAAATGTTGGAAATATGTGAGTATATACGTGAGTATAAAAATTATTATTAAAATATAAAAGAAATAGATAAATATAAAATATAGAAGAATAATAAATGTTATCACAGCATGTAATAAAAGATACTTTAATCTAGGCTATCACGCACATTTAACGGATTTCTCTTTTCATTTCGTCAAACTGATTAAATGTGTCATAGCTAATTTCTTTTACTTCGGCGCTATAAATATTTCAACGTTAAATAAGCAAATTCTTTATTAGACTCACCGTTCTTATCGTACCGTGATATATATTTTGTTCCTCGATCATTTTCACTTTCGTGCCGATGCACAGTGCAGTCGTTGCGTTTAATCTCGCGTGCCGAGATATCGTCGGGCTTGCATGGTTTGATCGGAGATCAATTGTGAAACCGACATTTTCTAAATTAAATCGTATACATGATCGCCGCCAGGCGATATATCAAATGTCTTCATAAAACTTTCACATATATCTCTGGAAAACAATTTGTTGGCATGTTGTTTAGCATACAAACATGCGTTCAATTTTTATCGAAATACAAGTAACATATATTTACGTATACATATATTTAGATGCCAGTATATTATTATTAGTATTGATGCCAGTATATTATTATTAGTATTGAAAGATATCAATTTCGATGATGTCAGTAATAATTTATCAACCTAATAATATGTTTGTTTGACTGAAAGGTCTGCTGTTGGTTTAGACATAATGCTGCGATTCCACTTGCCTCTCATTCATCAAGTCAAGTATGTAAATTAATTATAAAATAGATATTTTTATATTTTTATTTATTTTTGTTCTACACGCTTTTTAATTACTTTTATTTAATATATAATAAGAGTTTATTTATTTTTGACAATGTTTTCTTTTTAAGTAAATTGTTTATTTCACTACTTTTATTGTATTTTAAAAAATTTTTTACATTATAGTTTATTTTATTTATCTATTATATTCGTTTGTCGTTGAATTTTTAGAGTGCTTTGTGGTAAGAAAATTTCGCTAAACCTTTATCCAGATTAATTTTAAACAATGTCATCAAGAGATTTTTATATATAACTAATTTATTTATACTTTTTTATTTCTTTATAATATCATAGACGAGTAGCAGTTTTTATATTATATTGTTGTTTATTATGATTACTAGTTTTATTAAATGCCGCTTTGGATTTTTCATCACTTCATTTCATACAATTGCAACGCTTTGATTTGGATTCCTTGGCTGTAAATGAATTTTGGAAATAAATTTTAATTATTTTGTTACTCTGGGAGATTGATACTAATATTTTTGTGTGTTAATATAAATCTATGGGAAACAAAAATTCATATGTGCTTTTATATCTATAATTTTTTCAAATTTATTCCAAATTGTTGTCATCAACTTTTCTCTGGCATCTGTCTAATTCTTCAGATCCAGAATGCATTCAAAGACAAAAAGGCAAATTCCCAAGATAATTGGGATAGTACCCAATCTGATTCATCGAAGGAAACGGAAACATCCGAAGAAAATAATGATGAAATTCAAAAGTAAAATATGATTAATAAAACCAATTTATATAGTATAAAGTATATGGTATACATAACTTTTAATAGTATTAGAAATGAACAAGTAGAAAAATCCAAAAAATATATAAAATTTCAAATTCCAAAAAATATATAATTAATTTATTTATTTATTAAGTAAAAAAAAATATTACGTATATATAAATATTCTAATAAATATTCTACATTATCTTTAATTACTTAGTCTTCCATTTTTTCTGCACAGCGCAATAAAAAATCAGAACGTGAATGTGAACATGAATATCTTCGATCGCAAAGACCGTCATCGCTTTACACGCAATCGTAACGAGCACCACAAACCAAACATAACAGAAAATATTCTATTGGTCACAGGAAAAGAAACACTAGAACAAATTGCTAAGGAAAAAGAATCAACAAACTGTGCAAGTAATAAAAAGAAAAATCAAAGATACTCGAGCAGCTTCATCGGAAACTCAACTAGTCACTCGATAAATGTTGATAAGGAATTTGACGAAGTGGTTGGTAATAATTCTAAGGTGAAGAGAACTAGCAGCGTTCACGAGGGCGAAGATATCACTTTGTGTTGGATCGAGTTGACGACCATCAAAGAGGATAAGATCGTTCGACCGCCGAAAAAGCTGGTTATCCGCGAATATATAATCTCCTTTGAAAATTCAGCAACTATACCAGAAAAATACCTGGAATGTAAGAAATTTGAGGGTGAGCTGACGGCGAACGATCCTGAGATTGGCCAAACAGCTCTATTCGAGGTTATAGACGAAGACACCATGGTCAGCAGGATTGTTAACTTCACTTCGGTCAGTCATGTCGGCAATGTCGTGGTCTGGGAACACAAAAGTGTGAAATGCGGAGTCGGTCCGGTTGTTAGTAAAAACATTGTAGAATTGTCCGATGGTTCGAAGAATCCGAAAAAGAGAGTGGAGATCAAAGTTAGTCCCAAAATGCATCAGCTGACGGCAACGAAGGCCAAGGAGGAAACTGAAGAACCTTGCACGGATGATTATGAGGAAGAGGGAAGTGAAGAGAGTAGCACGATCAAATCCACTACTGAATATACTGCAGAAATAACTACAGGTTTCGCTGGCATTTTACCGGAACATGACAGGGAAATCAGTTCGAGTGAAGAAACAGTTGAACAGAGCAAGATCGAAAGCGAGAGCGAAGAAAATTTATCTGGTATTACAAAATTGCTGGAAACATTACCTGATGAAGAGATATTTGAAAGAACTACGATTTTTCCCAAAATACCAACTACAATTCAAGAATTTTCGGAAAAAATAGATTGTGAGGAAAATTCGTCAGATCCAGTGTGCTTAATGCAAAAGAGTGCATCTTCTTCGGAAGAATTATTTCCCGAATCATCATCCACCTCGGAAGCAATCGTAACGGAGGTAGTCACTGAAACATCACCAATAACTTTGGTAGATACAAAAATGTCAGTTCCAATTAGCAGTAGAGAAATAATTGCGGAAAAAGAAATATCTAGTGAGGAGAGATCAGAAAAAGTCACGGAATCGTTATCTACATCAAAAGAGGAAGAAGAAATAGTTTCTAAGTTAGCTGAAAAGACAACTCCAGTCGTATTTACGACAGGTATTTCCGAGGAGTCTTCGAAAGTGTCTCAATCAACGGATAAAATATCTGTTGACGAGGGCAGTGCAACTACGTTAGAAACGGAAATGACGACAAGTTATATCGTAAAAGAAGATATGGAAGAACACTTGAAGTCTAAAGAAGGCAGCGGTGAAGATTTCATTGAATTGACGAGTGAAGAATTAGATAAAATTAGTCATGTTTTGTTTACAAGTGCGAGCACAGCAGTTTCAGAAGAAGTTACTAAGCAAGATGTTACAACTGCGATACCATCGATTGAATTTACCGAATTTGCGAAAGAATCTGAAAAATCTGGAATGATCTTGGATAAACTAGGCGGAGAAACAGTTTCAACTGAAGGCGTAATTAAGAACATAAGCACCGAATCATCCGAAGAAGTATACATAGGAGGAAGTGAAGAAAGCATGATATTCACAAGCGAAGAAGCGTCGTTGTTTAAAGTAAAGACTACTGAGAAAGAAGAATTTATTACAACAACAATATCGCCAACAAAGATCAAATCAACAACTAGCGAGTTGGAATTGTGCGAGAATTCCGAAGATTGTGCATCCGTTGCCAATTCGGAAGCCTGCGACGAATCTGAAAATTGTGATAAGACAATCAGCAAGTCCTGCGAATCAGAGATATGTTCTGAGGAAGAAAGAGAGACCGTAGAAGAGAGACTTCCGTCAAAAACGACGAAAATTAAGTCCGTAATTGATTTGTCTGAGGAATCAACAATTGGAAGTCGGTACACGACTGTGGCGAATGTAGCAGCGACCATGTTGACCTCTCAAGAGAATGAGAATAATTCGACGGCTATCAATGTTCCCACTATCACGGACACTCGAAGAAGTACGACTACAAGTACGCCGCAACATAAGCTGGCTTTGAAAGTCAAGGTTCTCTTGGAGCACATTAATGAGAACAAGGAGAAACATAACTTGGTCGAAGTAGAGAAACAATTATTGCTGGATGAGAATCCACAACATCATGATAATCCCGATTTGCTGGAGCAATTAAAATCTTTGAACGATTCCGTTAACATGGAAACCATAAATGCATTGTTAAATTGTACCAGCTTGGGCAATTTGACAAAAGATACGAATTTTGTCAAGAAAAAACGGAGTGATGCTGCTGACAGTAAAAGCAAAGAATTAGAATTTATAAATTCTGACTTCGAGAATTCACTCTCAGATCAAACTTCTGATTACATTGATTTCAGAAATGAGAATTCCGAATATTCCGACTCGGAACACGAGGTACTATCTCGAAGACGAAGACGAAGAAGTCTTGATGAGGAAAATCTGACTAAACAAAATCTTTATGATCCCACTGATTCTGTAACTGATCCTTTAAACATTTCAAGAATTCAGAAAGATTATCTGATGAAGGAAAATATTCAACTTTCCGCAACGACAAATAATCCCGAAGAGGAAACAAATAACACTACGTATACAGAAAATGAAGGAAATGTGACTACAGCAGAAGATGAAATTACAATGCCTTCTACAAAGATGAACATCAGCGATGATATTGATTTTTCAAACGTTACGGAATTTCATGATGCTAATCTGACGATGGAGGATATACGATCTACGACTACGAATAAACCCGAGGAGGAGACGAGTATTATAGCTTTAGAATTTATGGAAAATGAAAATGTAACCACTGAAAGAAATAAAAGTACGATGTCTTTGATAGAGAGCATCAATAATGACACAAAACTGGAAGTCGTGCGGGAAAGCTTACCAGGAATACAGGAAGATGTCGTAGTCGGATTGCAACATATGGTGTCGCAAATGGCGCAAAATCAATTAAATTCAATCAACAAATCAATTAAAGAGGTTGTTAAAACAAATTTAATGGATGTTATAGCGGACCCCAAAGATAGTAGAGTTCACTCGAGGAGAAGAAGAGCGACCACAGAAGAACTAGGGCATTGGTCGAATGAAAGAATCAAAGAAGCGCCGATGGGTGGCAATCTGAGAACTCTAACTGAATTCACATTGTACAAAGTTCTCCCTTGAATAGATATATTTGACAAGATTAAATTGTACTTTCTAATGTCAAGAGATAATTTTAGTGAAGTTAAAATGAAGAATTATATTGTATGCATAAATCTTACGGTACATTATATTTAATCATATAAATGCATATTGATAAGCAAACTTTCAGTACATATTAAAAATTTTTATTTTTATTTTAAAATACTACAGGTAACAGATAATAAAACAAAATATATTCTTTATTTATGTAAATCTATGTACAAATTTGCAGACAAATATAATATGCATTTAATATTATAAAAGAAATTTCATTACTTTAATGTAGAATAAAAATTTAATCTTCTATATTCTTATTAGTATATAATTTTTGTTAATTATTCTAATTTTAGCAATATATTTGACATTTAGATAGAGAAGTAAATATTTAAAACGTTTAATAATCTTTAGTAGTAAACGCCTGATTATTGTGCAAACAATTATAGCTTGTGTTCATAACATTCGAAAATAATTAATCGCGAACACCGATTCGTATCGACAATCACAATCACATCGGCTGAATCACATCTATAATGAATCGTGCTAACGAGGAATTGTTACGTACTTTTATTGTTTCCATTAAGTTGAAAATAATACCGTAGGTGATAAACACAACTGTTAAACAGGAGGGTATTCAAAGATTTGCTGATTATTTTTCTATCAGCCTATAAAATCTGTTTCATGTCGGAAATCTATTTACGATTTAATCATAGATGATTACGTTCAGTGCTACTTTTTTCCATTTATCGAACGTTATCAAGTGATATAACATCTTTTATATTTAACAAATTTCTCTCCATCCATTTATTATTACTCAGTAAACATATATTTATTATAATCGAGAAAAACATTACTTATTTTTGGCAGAAATTATTTCGATAAATAGTAATTAATATTTAACAATCGTTATTCTTATATTAGTTTACATGATTATTTTTCTCAGAATCACGCAAGAGCATTTTATAAAGTGCGAATATGTATAATTTACATTATAATGTTCGATCATCCTTATCCAATTGTTCCCGGACATGTATACCTCTCTGGCGGTACACATTTTTCCGATACCGGGTTGAATACCAGCGTATTCGGGCATGACAGATTGTCCATTATGGTGTAACGAACGCCGTCCCAGTAACACAGGTAATACCTTTTACACTGCGCGTCCTGTATTGGGAATCTGCCGTATCTAACGCAGAGTGGTGCTGAAGTGGTGGTCGAGGGTGGCATCGTCGTCGTTTGCTGACACGTAGCCGTGCTCTCAGATACGCATCTGCCCTGAAGAGGGTCGAATATGGCAGAACTGGCGCACATTAGGTTCACCGGATTGAGTTTCTCGCCGTCGTCCACACAAATATAATAATTCTTGCAGGTCCCGTCGTAGATCTCGAAAGCACCTATTTCTGTGCAGGTAGGCGTCGCAGTTTGACCTACGGCAATCCTGATCAGACTGAGATAAGATTGAAGGCACAAAAGAACGATGCACGAGAAGGAATTCATCATTCGTCGCGTGTGATCGAAAGATTTGGCCGACGCGAGAATGTCAGGATCATTTATAGCAAAACAGTTTATGGTTTAATTGTGTGAAACATATGATCGTTTATCAGGGATTTAATTAGGAATTATAAAGCAAGATAAAATGAAGACAGTTCGCGTTGGCCTTGCCATAAATTCACGCATCTCTTTTACCTCGAATTTACATATCCCTGTTTTTGTCGACGAATATTCTTATATTAATATATTTTTTTCTAACAATGCTGTATTTTCATTATTTCAAATTAAAGAAAGTGATAATTTATTGGCGTTATTATATTACGTAATTATTGAAAGCTAATGTGATTAAAATATAAAGCTATGTTTTTTTTTTTTTTTTTCGACGTCGTTTGAAGTCAGAACGTCACCTCTGCATCCCCGATGATTCTTTCCAAGTGAAATGTCGGACGCGCATTCAGAATGCGACGTTTTTTTCAACGTGGCGGCTTTACGACGAGGAAATCGAGGGTGAATCTACGGAATACAAAATCGCCAGAAAGCGGCGAGAAAGTTGCAACTGAGTTTAATGTCCGCACGTAATATTCTATGCACGTTCGTTATGCTGCTGGCATTATGCTTTAATTGTGCATGTACATCTTATATCTATAACAGATTTGATTTTGCATATCTTGTTCATATCGAATATTCATTTTCTATCTCGCCATTAAAGATTTATTTTCCATCATATAAAATATAATTATCATTTTGTTTATATATTTTGTGTGTACTGAATAGTATCAAGATATAGCAAATTTTAACATATAATACATTTAATAGTCATTTAATTTGCAAGATATAATATATATATGTGTGTGTGTGTGTGTGTGTGTGTGTATGTGTATATACAATATTATATTGTGGAATAAAAAGTATTACGCTGAATAAGAAAACCAGTTACGTCAAAGATGCCTTTATACCTGCATTCCTTCTTCTCTGAGTTTAAGTAACTTTTCTTTCGTTATCAACGATCAGGGATGAAAATATTTTCGAACAGATAGGAAAATCCTCTTTTCATAGGTCCAACTGCAGCCTCAGAGATAAAAGAAGGGGGAGAGAGAGAGAGAGAGAGAGAGATTGGTTGAATGTACACGAAAGAATCCTTGTTCTGGAGCGAGGGAAAGGTGCTACGGAAGGGAGAGAGAGGTGTCAAGAAGGAAGGAGAGAAGCGCAAATGTATATAAGTGACTTCAGCCGAAGACGCTCCAATGGACTCTCTCTTTGACCCTGGTCAAGTGCGCATCCTTCTTCCCATATTTTTTTTCTTCCCACCTCCTTTCCCATGCACGGTCGCTTCGAGATCCTGCGTCCTTCCGCTTCAACCTTCACCTTCTCGCGGCGAGGAAGAGTTCTCGCGCCCGTTCGGTTCGCATTACGCGCTGTGACGATGGAAGGCTGAGAGAGCTGGTGGAAATCCGATTTGCTCCGGAAGAAGATTTAGGACAAGTGTGATTTTGATTTCGCGTGCATGTGACATGTTCCTGACGGAGAGAACCTCATTGTAGGAGAGATGGATGCTCGAAGAGTGAGTAATGCTAGTGATAAGAGATAAGTTTATTTTTTTTGGAACAAAAAAGCAGTGAATTATTATGAGATTGTTGTTGTTTGATCAAAAGATTTTAGAGAGAGATTTTTTTTTTTTAATATAAAATTTAATAGATTAATGTTAATTAAAATAAATTTACTATAATATAAAAATAATTATATATATCTTTTGATAATCTACTTTTATGCAAGAAATATTTTGAAAATTCAATTTTATTATACAAGCACAATAATATTCATTGTCAAAATATTGATTATCAAAAGATAATAATTATCTTTATCGCGTGCAATCTTTTTCGATTAAAACTGCAAATCACTGCCCTTACATTTGTAGATTGTTCTAGTGAATTTAATGATGGATCATTTTAATGCGCTATAATTCTCTCTACTCGTGGTATATTGATAACGAGGCGAATCGTGCGGGCTGCGCAATTATGATGTACCGAGCAACGTGAGAGCCTTGACGACATAGAAAAGACGCACACCGCTTTCGAGTCTAATCTATATTGAACATGGAATAGACGCGTAGGAACTCTCCATGTTCATGTTAAATATTGTTTCATTAAAAGCATATCTCTTTAAAAAATCCTCACTTAGTATAATATAGATTAATCTATCATTAAAGAAATTTATATGTAGATAATTATAGGAAAAAGTAAGAAGAAATTGAGCATTACTTTAAATATTAAAAAATTGTCTCTTCTAGAAAATTATATAATAGAAATAACACATATGTAGCAAATACACCGATTCTTTTTTTTTTTTAATAATAAATAGCATACTTTTATTAATTACATATTAAACATTTCTTTTATATTTTTATATTATAAAAAAATGTACTTTATATATATTCAAAATATTAAATACCGCAAATAATTTGACAAGAAGTCTGTCTTATTATGTCTTATTAATAGTCGAGTTCCAGTTCTAAAGTAGTTATAATTTTTTTGAACACATTGATTTGGTTTTGTGTAAATTGTATTTTGCGGGAGAATCGTCCCGCAGTCACGTTCTTTAATTAGCCAGAAGAGCGTCGTTGGAGCAGTATGTTAATGTACAGCCCGTGTTGTGTCTCAAAAGTCATGGTTGATTTATGCACATCGTGAATCGTCGATAGCGCGCGTCAGAGTGACGAATAAATGACGAAGACATAAACCGCTTTCGAGGTGGACGATCAGGCCGTTCGGCACATCGCCAGTCAAAGAGGGAAACTCTTTCGAACGACCCAAATCTATCGCTTTCCGTTTGCACGTGTCTCACATAGTCCCAATTTCCAAAAATATGTGCAGCAAGTGTTTTCTTAATGCTATTTCTAATTAATGCTTTTTTCGCGTTTACTTCATTCAAGATTATTATGCAAAGAATCTTAGAATATATTAACAACATAACATTGAACATCAACATTATTTTTTGTAAAATTTAATATCGACTTTTATTGACATAAATATAGAGATATTAATAATCTGTGACTTTTTCAGCTGCAAAGTATAAAAATAAAAAGTGGAATTATTTATTTTATTTGCATAAAATAATCATTATTTTAACAAATCATAATTTAAGACTTAGTTAAAAAGCAAATATTAAAATTTAAGTACCAAGTATAAGTATAATAAACTTATTGTTAAAAATGATAGATTTTTTTCGATTTTATTATAAGAAAACAGTTATCTTTAATATTTATTTTCGAGTAATTTTAGAATATTTTGTATATCATTTTTTTAGATTTTAAAATCTAAAGAATATTTTTTTCACATTATGTTTTACACATATTGATATTGCTTTGTCACCAGTTTCAGATAATACTTTAAACCTTATCTTAAAACTGCATATAGTGCTGATAAAGAGGACAAAGTATATAAGGATGTAAGCAATTTTCTTAGAAAAGAGATGAAAAGAAAAATTACTTTCCATTTACATGTCTTATCAGCTTTAGAAAAGAGTCAATACTTTTTACGAGCGTGAGATATCCATGCAAACATTTTCTACTCGAAGTGCCCATGTCACTTTAGTTCTAATATTATATTAGTATGTCTTATTTGGATGAACAAACTTTTATAATCTAAAGATATTAAAAATTAAAATAGATATATAACATATATATAATTTATACTGTTACAATTTCTATTTTAAAATAACGAGTGAAGCAAGAGATAAGTAGAAATCAAGAGTACCAGTTAATAAATCCGTTTGTATTGGCAAAACAAAGGTGAAATCTCTTTCCGTTTATAGACATATTCTTTTATAACATTGAGTTGTCAATAATGATGTAGCGCCACCCGAGGTTTCTTTCTATTATTCTACACAACACGTACGATTCTTGGACATTTTTCACTCGATTTGTGCACGTACCCCTTTTATACTTTACATACTTTCGCTTAATATATTTGCCGTGTACGATTTTATATCTGGATTGTAATCGAACTTTTTAAATCGTGAAAGTTAAGGAAGACTTGGCAATATTATTTCTATCGTTTTCTAAATAATAAGATAATCTGCCTGAGATGAATTTCTTCTATTACACTCACACATCTCTCGAAAATATGGATTTCAATTAGTCTCGATATTAGTTGCGAGTCAAGTATCGCGATTACTTATCTTGAGAAGACCATATAAGGGGTCACGACCAACACTTTACGCCGTATTTTTCTGACGCACGTCGAACTGGAGCAGCCCACGATGTAAATACGATAGTTAACTCTCTCTGTCTCGACGCTCCTGTAATTGTCTTCTGCGCCGTTGAAGCACCGTTAGGGCTCGTCTTTTCTGAAGAGAAGATCGTCAAGATCTCCTGATTTTCACCCGACCATTCCCACGGGATCGTCGGGGCTTTAGGAGAATTTAAAATCCGCCTCGGAAAGTGACAGGATAATACCATTATCTTTTTATAATCTCGGGCGGCGTACGTACGGCTTTTAGATTTTTTTTTTTTTTACAAAAGCCGAGATTTCTCAAAATATACAATATCCCGTACAGAATTCGAGAATAAATAGGAGAGAATTATACAGTCATTTTAATATAAAAAGTCATCGTAATTATAAACTGTAATTTTTGTTGTCACAGCTTCGTTGAGAGACATCGAAAGTTTCGCCTGTGAATATCGATCTCGTTGATGGTCGGTCTCGATTTCACGGAGATATCTCGCAGAATTTCTCGTACGTGTGCGATGATCGTTTCATTTCGGGCGACGTTATCCCGGCGCCGTAATGAGAGCGCAGCCTCGTTATCGGCGGCGGTTCGTCTCGATTAACGCTGACATTTATTTTCCGACGTATACGCGCGCTCGTATGGGACACGCATACACATACACATACACGAATACGCGTCGTTCGGGATTACACGTGCACGACCTCGCGCGCGTTACATCGTCTTCTCTTGCTGTAGGTCTCAAACTCCTCGTAATACCCACAGCCCACTTACCTACATTACTCGTTTTATGTGTGCGCGGGTGCTACATCTCCGCCGTTCGGCAACGAGTTTGTACGCGCACGCGGGCGCAGTGGCGTAATCAAATTTAATAATCGGACATTTCAATAATTAATTCCTGCTGTAGCGCTGAGACGATCCTAATGAGAAAACGTGCGGGTGACGCTTCCGCGCGGGCACCTTCAGACGGGACGATTATTAGAATTTGCGATACTCATTTCGCGTTATTAGCGCATCCTCCGTTATTACGCATTGATAATTTGTATCACAAGAAAATGCACGAGATGAACGGTTATTATCTGTAGGATAAATTCTCTCTCACAGACTTAAAATACATCAAGATACATTTATATATATATATGTTATATAATTATTTCGTGTTTTCATATATTTAAGTAAATTTTATTTCAGCCTATACGTTTTATCGAATCTGTTCGCAGAACAATTCGAGGTTTCGAGAGCGAATTCTTTATAATGAGATGCATCACTGAGTTTCATATCATAGTTACGCTGTTGCATTTGCGCATTCGCGTCCTCTCACCTTGCACTTCTGGGTCGAGATCTCGTGGTCGAAGATGCTGATACATTTGCAATCCAACCAAGTAAAACCATAATCTCCCATCCAAACGTGACGATTTAAACGGCCGGGGAAGATAATCGATATACGTCAGTAGGCTTGATACGATCGTCGGTCGTGCGATCGTAAACCGTCGACCTGTGTGTGCCAAATCGGTGCTCTCCAGATGTTCTGGACGATCTCTAGACGAGAAATCGGACTTATCCGCTTCCTAGCAGTTTTCAACCCGTTCTTCTATCCTTAATTCTATCCTTGACTTAAGAGCGCGGAGTCACTATTATTCTCGATCCATGTTTGATTAATACCTGCTGGGTATTCGTAGCCTACTGACTTCTCATTAAAGTCCATCTGAGGAAATGGCGTCGTGCCACATAGTTCTGCAGATGAAGATGTATCATATCATATCGAAAGAACGCACGCAGAAACAAGTAGGTTTATTTGTTGCGTGCTCAATTAATCGAATATATGTACATATATATATATATGTGTGTGTGTGTGTGTGTGTGTGTGTGTGTGTGTGTGTGTGTATAAATGTGAAACCTCGCGATTGGAATTCGCGTGATGAGTATTAATGTTTCATCGGAGTAGACGTAAATGTTAGCTGTGGGGGAAAATTTTCTAACTATTGCGTGAATTATCTTCGTGGGATAACCGTGACAATTTCGATTCGCGCGTTACAGTCATCAGGCGAGAAACTACTTTGCGTCGAACATCTGCGCGCCGTAAACGAAACCGCATACGCGACGCATCGCGTTGCGAATCGCGCGCGTTGCGAGCAGAATGCAGCGATGCGACCTGCTCGGAAGCAATTTGCATAACGCCCTCCCGTGTGCGCGTAAAATCACCGTAATGCGTTATTAGAGGCGCGTTTCTCGCGCGTACGTGCGCGCGAGCGCGTCTCCTCTTTTCTTCCGTTTCTTCACTTTCCTACGCGGCTTCCGGTTCGCGGGACAAACACGGTCACCCGCCGACTTACTCTCGTTCTCTCTCACGAGAGCGGCGACGCGACCGCACGCGCACGTACGCGAAGAACTAGCACGTGGAGAGCTCTTTCTCTCTCTCTGCATTCAATCCACGTGGGAGAATCTCCACGCCACTGTGGGTGCTGCGAATCGCGACATATTCCCGGCCTTTCTTCGTTTTCCTCGCGGCCTTCCATAATAATAGCTTCCTAGCCTCGGCTTTCTGTCCCTAAGAGGATCATTCGCTGCGCGTTTTTGTGAATTCGTCGTGACTTGAAACAAAAATTTTATCGTGGATATTAATGAATACGTTACCCAAAATAAATTATTCGGGGGCTCGAGCCATGCTTGATGCAATCTCTCCTGTCGTGCTCCAGGAGGATTATTTGTATATTTGCCAATGGCGTTGGAGGGTGTCGCCGCTGCAGTCCGACCTGCATCCATCGAGAGAATAGGACCATCATCTCTCTGGAGTACCGGTCGTGGGGATTCGAAGGAATACATGTATATATGTATATTGTAATGTATATATATATATATATGTATCATTGTATTGTTGACGTGTTATTCTAAATACGTTATTTGCGATAAATATCATCACATGCCTCGGTAGTCGAAAGGATAAGATGCCTGCCCGGTAAGCAGGTTCGATTCCTGGCTGAGGTGGTATTTTTTCGCAAAATAATTACGAGTTTTCACGACTGGTTCGTGGTCGGGCCCCGCCGTGACGCACACCCTCCCTTCTTATAACGCCGTTACGGTCAATTGAGAAGCTAACTGATATCGAAATCGAATTTGGAAAAATGTTTAAAGTTCTTGTCTCCAAATAAATCGTTAGACAATCGTTAGACAATAGTTTTGCGTACACATAAGTAACAAAATAACAAAGTGAATAATAGATCGAAGCAATTCTACGGAATTGAATTCGTGATCCTTTCTCGTGGCACATTCTTGACCTTCATCATTGCATTCGTAAACCTTATGACCTCGTGCCGTCGATAATGACTAGTTGACTTAGAATCTCTTCAGGAGAATGATGATTGTGGAGTCTATGTCGGTTAAACAGGCCGAAGAGTCTCGAACGACAGTTACACCAGTGCTTTCCACTCGCGTTTAAAGCCAATTTCGGAATTAGGAATACGTAAAGAGTGCCGGGCGAAATCTAATAACGCTTAGTTTAATAACGTTAGCCGAATGTGAAAACTGAGGATTACTAACGTGACGAGAGTATATGATTTGCGGCAGCTGAAACCAATTGTTAGTCTCTTCGCGACCGAATGATTTTTTTTTGCGACGCGGCAATATTGTTCGCTCTCTGTATGTGCGTAAATTGCACATAGCAAGCGGTGTATTAAAGCAGGGTAATCAGTTGAATTCAGAATTAAGGAGAGGAAAACCAACGAGGACTCCATTCTGGAATAACAAGGGAGAAGGCGTCTAGTTTCACGCACGGCATACATAATCCTCGGCGGCGTAGAATGATTCTCATGGTGCGACCCAGTTCGCTTCACTGCACGTTTATTCTCCGTCACGTCATTGACTGTTACGGAAAGTGTACATAATAATGTAATGCGTACGAGATTTCGTCGGGCAAATGATACCCGGAATATCGAGAAAGAGAAAGAGAAAAACAATTGTTAGCATACATCCAACAACTTTCGACTTAAGAAAGCAGCTGTGCGTCTCCTCTTATTTCTATTTAAAATAAACTATATAACGAAAATTTGGATCTATTGGACTAAAGTCAGTTTTGTTAAAAAATTCTAAAGCAAAGATTTATTGTTTTCTAATTATAGCAAATAATACAAATTATTTATATGACAAAATAAGTTTCAGCTAATAACATTAGCAATCTTTTCGGCTACAAAGCAATGGTTTCGTATTTCAGGCTTTGCCATTCTTATTGCTGGTGATCTACATAATCAGTGCAGTTTTTGCCATCCAGAATGGCCGAGGTGGTTCAAACTACATTCGACGCATTCGCAGAATCAGCGAGTATCTCGTACCACCGCCACCACCAGGATTTCGTCCATACAGCAGAAATCCAAGATTGGCGACTCCCCAGCCAACCGATGCACCGGGATATTTCTCGTGGATGATGAAGTGGTTGAATCCTTTTAGTTCCGAGTCTTCGTCGCAACCGCCGCCGCCGCTACCACCACCACCACCACTGCACGAAACTTCATATTCCCCATCACCAGGTCTATCGCCTCCTGGACCACCCGCGACACTCTACAACGGTCCCCCTCCTGTGGTGAATCCCCCTCCTTATGAGAAACCACCTCTTCCTCCGTCTCCTGTCAACGATCAATCCGCATATCCTTCTTCAGCCAAGGGCAAGAGTTGCAATTCTTGCAACAGAGTCCCGTGGATGCCGATACAGAATCCAGGTGAGGCTGCCCATTCGGGAGATGCTTCGTATATACCACCACCGCCACCGCCGCAAATTCAATCGTCACTGAACGGCGAGTATCTGCCACCTGTAAATCACGAAGTACCTTATGATGCTCATCATGCTGCCTCGCAGGAAGTCAGAGCTCCAGACTTCTCTTTCGCGTCGCCTTTACCCATCGAAGACCAGGACAACTCCTTTATTGGCCCGTTACCAAACCCGCATTTATTTCCCGGAGCATTACCGCCGCTCTTTAAAGCGGGAGACTTTAATTACCCTTCGCAAGTCGCTTCTGATGAAAATTTATATCTTGACGCACCACCACCACCACCGTCTGTTTCCGGGAACAGCGCGCTCACAGGAAACGGCTCTTTTCTGGATGTAACGAGACCTGCTTTCAATGGTGGACACAACGAACAATCTGTGTATCCAAATCCCTCGATCCATCAAGAACTAGGATATCCTACAAATAGCGGAGAATTCGATCATTTTCAAGATCATAGGGCACACGGTGATCTATCCTCCAGTGGCACTCAAGTGTCTCACGGTCATGTCAATCCTGTACCAGATAAACAAGAATACGAAAATAAAGATTTATTCGATTCCGTAAATCATCAAACATCTATTGATAGTTCTGGCGTTCAGAATCGTCAACCTTCGGGAGTGCCTAATAATGCAGGATTTTATGAGGTGACGGGTTCGAGTGGACCGACAGGAAATTTCCTCGATAACGCGGGTCCAATCAACCAAAATCTTCCCAGCTATGGAATTTCCGATCTCGACCAAATACCGAATCGATACAACGATCTGTCCACGAGCGCCAACGTCGCCGAGAGTTCTCACGTACCTCCGCGTGCTTTAGACGGATCTTCTGGGAAGATTGAAGATTCAATAAATTTTGAGGAGTCACCGTTGCTAGATTTCACGCACACGGATGAAAGTCGGACGGACTCGTCCTCGATATCGCCGACCTCTAACGCATTCGGGGGCTTTGAGAGTTCCGAGATTGCCGGGACGACTGTGGTACCTGGTGAGGAGATTTTCGGAATACGTCAAGGTGTCGCTTCAACGCAATCTCATCTCTCTCCGGATTATCTCGAGACAATATCGAAGGTTAACAATAACACGATTCAGAATGCTACCAAAAGTCTTTATGATCCTACAGTTCTTCGGGAGCAAGACGTCTCCTACACTTCGCCACTTGGGAAGACGTGGTATCCGTGGTCAAATGTCCTTTCAACGACTCCGAATACAGATACAATTCCGCAATCATTTTGGAACATTCTGAAACCCTACGATGATGCAGCGGAAGATATATTGAGTCAAAATATTAATTTGAACGAGACACAGCAAGGTGCGAAGAGGAATAAACAGGTGATGTGAACATGTTTTTCAAATAAAAAACAAATCTTTAAGGAGACAGATTGTCCTCGTTGATTTATGTATAATTTATCTGTGCGATCAAAATGTTTAGGTACAAGTCATCATTCCTTATACGTCGCAATATACGCCACTTCCATTCCATCCAACGCATGAAAAAAAGATTTCCGACGCGAGTGAATCCAATCATGACAATTATGCTGGTGAAGAATCAAGAAACAGAATCAAAGTGGCCAGTCCTCCCAACTCGTCGATCATTTCTCCAACTTGGCCGACAACTTTACCGATATTTGAAAATGTCACCAAAAAACCAATTAGTATTAAAGCGAACAACTCTATAGATGTACATAGATTGCAAAAGAATATTGATAACTGGACGATACAGGTATACAATTCTTTTTTAACAAATATATTTTTATGAACGGATTAAATTATATTCATCATAGAGTGATGAATATAATTTATAATCTTGCATATTGTAATATTAAATCTAATTAATATATAGCAATGCAGAAAAATGGATATTAAAACTGAATATTAGTACATAATATTTTTTTTTAGAAAACATTCTATAACTATCATATGCTATGATAAACTGTATTTTAAAATTCTAACGATAAGTTTTGATGTCATTAACTTTAAAATTAATTATTAATGTCAAAATTTTTATTATTATGTTGATTTTATTTATGGTAAATTTTTTATATATAGTAAACTATAAAAATAAGATAATTTTTTCTGATTCAGGAATATTCAAAAGGCACAACTGCTAGTACAGTATCGCCTAGTTCGTCCAATCCGTACCTTTTTCCTTCAAAGAAAATCCCTGATGAGTATCTGACTACCACCGAGCCTGTTGATCACATAGATGATTCTCACAAAGATAATGTTAAGACGTTCACTCTGGCCGGATTCAGCTTCAATGATCTAGAATACAAAGAATCGGCCAGCAATCGCGTGGAAACTACACAAGTACGACAACAATTCACAAACGTTCTAAGAAAATATTAATAATAAGAAAAATAATATTTTACTTTTCCTGTATACTTTTCATTTAAGGCAGTGAACATTAAAAAGTCAACTGAGAGTTCTACCGATACTCCCACTACATCCACGAACGTCGACATATGGCAGAGCTTCCCTGTGGGGATTTCTCAAGTGAACAAAGAACGCGTCCATGTCGTCACGCCCCAGCCTGTTGTAACTTCTAAATCGACTCCTATCCAACAGAAAAAAGAGAAAACGGTGAAGGAGGTAGAAAGGAACACGAAGGAATCAAGGAAAGCTTCGGAAACGGATATAAAGAAAACGAAGACAAAGTCCGAAGATACGTTTGAATCGATCGAGAAAGCCTATCAAGTGCTGCCTCAGGCTGTGAACAATTTGGCTGTGGCTTCCACAGGTCCAGAGAGCGTTCCTTTGTGGGGCATCATGGAACATGAAGAGTTTGCATTGCCTGAAAAACACAATTACGAAAATGAAGATGAGTTCGAACATCCTGAAATTCTTGAAATTCCTATGCTGTATTCTGGACACTCAAAGGTATTTATCACTGTTAATTTAATATTTATAATTAAATCTTTTATAAAAATATTTTTTGTCACAATTTTCTTTTTTAAAAAATATCTTTATATTTAATTTCTTTAATATTAGAAAGAAATATAACGATAAATGATGTAAATTATTATTAATATTAATATTTAAATTGGTAACTTTAAAATTTTATATTTATAAATAATGTTTTAAAGATATATTTTTAATGTTTTAAGATATACTTTTTGAGTTATCTATAATTGAAATATTACAAATGTAATTTTATTTATTGCAATTAATAGATAAAATGTTTTAATTAATACAAAATACTTTTTGTAGGTGTCACGTGCCAGACGATGACGTATGAAGTGTGGAAAATGCTCAAGATAATTCTTTATGTATGTGCGGACGATTTGAGTGTGTTTCCGTGAACAATGTGAACGGTTGTGAACTGTTGTAACTGTTAAAATATTCTTCGACCTCATTTCCAAATAAACTTCTTAATTTACTGATATTTAATATAAACGGGTGAACTGTTTCGATTCTACGTGCGCGCGTAAGTGATTATTGTGGCCAGTGCACCGGTATTTTATAATCCGGAATATGTATATTATATATACATATATGTATATCATATATACATGTTTTGTTAAGTCTAATAAGTCTTTTTTATAAATTTGGTAAGTTTATAGATAAGAAAAAAAACTCAACAAGAAACTCAAGACAACATGGAGTATATTTGCATTTGTCACATTATGTTGTGATTCGAAGTTGTTCACTATTAAAATTGCTGTAAAAAATATATACAATATTTATATACATTGCATTTATTTATTAATTAAATTCTTCTTTAGAAATTTATTTTACGACCGGTTTAAAAATAATTTGCATAAAACTTTTTAAAAAGTATTTTTAAAAATGATTTACATAAAATTTTTTTCTTAAGCTTTAAAAGCAATTGAATTCTGCTTTAAATAAAAAAACTTTTTGCCGTAAAAAAGATACATTTTAACGAAAAGAAGACTAATGACTCTTGACAACATATTGATTAATCAGGTCAGACCATGTTACACGAACTGGATTTTAAGCGAACATGCTCTCATTTTCTGGAGCGCTTTCATCAATACTGTAAGCTAAATCTAAGTTTAAAATTAATCTTCTCAGAAACTATCGTGCATTATTAAACGTTTTCCAAAGGAGAAGTTTTCTTCGTTTCCAGTCACACTCTTAATGCTAAAATAATGAGTTCTGGCGTGACATAAAAAAAAAACAATGATAAATAATGATAAATATGAGGAATAATGAATAATAGAAAACGGATAGCAAATAAAAAATAATGAATAATGAATGACTTAACAATTTGCACATAAAAAAGACTAGTATAGGTTTATTTCTAAAATAAATTAAGTAAATATATTTCTAATTCTTGCAAATTTCACGCGACATATTTTTTTCGTACGATGCAACACTATTCTTGACAATTAGTATATTAAATTATATTCACGTAGCATGATAAATTATTTAAAATATTGCGCATTTTTTTTATTTAAAAAAATTTAGAAAACTACAGGTGTGGTTGTTTTGAAATCCTGTCGCGTTACTTGAGCTCGTCTTTTATGTATTTACCAATCACGTTCGCTCGTCACTTTCGCCGATTTCGTAAAACTGAACATTCGCCAAGAAGTGTCACGATTATTTGAATACGGCTGCATCTAAATATACATTTGTACGTGATATACATATATGCATACAGCGCAAATCAATTTTTTTCGATTGTACAGTGAAACGGAACGATTGTGTCGTGAATTTCGAACTCGCTCTTTCACTCACTTCAAGCGAAATTGTATGAAAAAATAATTCAACATTTAAAAATACATATACCATTTCATATCGTTAAATAATAATTATATATCAAAAATATATTTAAAAATATTTTATATATTTAAAAATTTTCTATATTTAATTTTCCTGATAGAAAAGAAATAACATTACTTCCGTGCTTTATTCATTCGTAGCACAAGAAAATTAGGTGATTATCGTGCGTATATTATAACCATTCAACGAAAAAGATGTTACACCTAATGAGAAAGAATTTGAGGCGAGAAAAGATGAAACCATCAGCATCGAATAGATTGGCTTGCTTGATGCAACAATATCTACAATTCATTGACCTTCGAACTTCCTTTTCAGGTTTCTTCAGGAAGATCACACGTTGCTTGTCGCATCAAGACGTGAGAATCTCCCGCCGGAAGATAGTGGGAAAAGGTGTACCATTGTCTACACGGTGTACCGCGGTTTGTCTTAAAAACTCCAATCGCGTCTACAGAAGACTAACGCTGTAATTAGATTCATTTCTATGATAAATGGTATCAAACAAGGACACGACCTTAATTATTTGCATTAATGCAATTGCATTAGTGGCGAAAGCCACTTAAAGGAAACGTGAACAAATTTTTACTTCTATTTCATAATTCGTGAAATCGAAAATTGTTAAATGTAATTTTTCTTATTTTTCTTTTGCTCTTTAAATATATTTTGACTGCCGTTCAACAGCTTACTTCAACAGCTTGAAACACGTTTTGGGATTTACAATGAGTGTATCACACTTGAAAATAATTTATTTTTGAATAATTTATTTTTGATAATTATTCAGTTCGCTGTTTCGGACAATTCTGATTTTTGCCGAGCAGTCTTTCTTCGTATAAGTATCATCTCTATTGTCCAAATAAATAACGTAAGAGCGGTCACACAGTTGAGCAGGATAATACAAATCGTATAATTTCCAGTATTATCTCGTATTAAACCTGCAACAACGACAATTTTTTTATTATTTAAATTTTGGACACTTAATAAATTATATATAACAATAATAATTATATAATATATAAATGATATATTGTAATTTACGTACCAATCATAGGACCAGCGCTCATAAGAATCATTCCGTTGGTTAGCATTTGAATCCCCGAAGCGTTAGGTAACTTTTGAATCGAAACGTAGCTGGGTACTACTAAAGTCATATATACCGACCGAATTCCTTTCGCTGCTCCCAAACCGATCGCAACAGCTAACATCGAGGCGAAACCAGTCGCAAATATTAGTGCTGCGCCAAGAAATAAAAGTAAAAATAAATCTTTTGCCTATGAATATTGAGATTTTTTGCGTTTTTTTTTCAGATAATAATCTTTTCTTATCTTTTTGTCAAAACTCGATAACGGAAGATGATTGGTATACGTTACAAGTTCTGCTGATTATCAGAAGAAACAGGCTGAGCATGTACATCATCCTGGGTGGCAGACGTAGCCATTCCCCTAGGAAAGGTGCCACGCTTCTGCTAACGAGATCGACCATCGCGATGATGCTCATGACGTTGGCAATATTTGCAGTTGTCAAGCCCATGTCGGCGAGGATAAACGGCGTCAGCATGGAGAAGTTGATCTCCGCGAAGATTGCAATTGACATCCCTAACATGATGTTCACGTAAATCGGGTCGCGCAGAAGATCGAAATCGTAAAGATCAGCCACTCGACGCAGAATTCGGCTGATGGTCGAATTATTTTTGTCACTATAATATGATTGTTATATTCTTTATTATATTAAAAAGTAACATCTTCTATGTATTAAATTCTAGAATTCTATATAATTATAATTTATACTACTCGCACATTCTTCAATAATAATTTTACATTAATGTTAATAAAATGAGAAAAAAAGAATAGAGTTAAGTATTAGTTTTATTTTATCTATTGCTCATTACTAAATATTCTCATACTCACCGATCGTTATTGTCTTCTTTGATTAGACAATTATCTGTTTCTTTTTTTAATAATAAATCTTTTTCTACAATGTTCTGACTTACACCATTAATTCTATTTATACCATTAGTTTTGCTTACACCATTATCAATAAAAGTCAATTTTTTTGTTATTGGAACAGGTTCGTCAAAAATTTTTATGCTGCTACCGAGATGAATACTGTCTATAC